ACAAGAAACAGACTATGAACCTGCTGGATCGAGAGGCTCGAAGCCTGCAGCTCTGCATGCTTCAGCCGACGTTACCAGGTTGTAACGTCTTATTTTTGTCAAACTCATTCTGTGATTTTCCACACATCTGGCTGACAGCTGGACTTTCACTTGTACAATTTTTGTAAAAAAAGAGCAAAACATAAATAAAGAAAAACTTAATTTACGGACATTAATTATACCTAACAAATTAATTTGAAGAAGTACACGTGATTTATGTCATTTTTGTGAAAGCAATACCTGCAAATAAGCTTGTGGGATATAAGTAATAATTCTCAAGCCTGCTTGCTGTACAACAGTCTTTTTTACTAACTTGTTATACTTACCACCTGCTTAATTTAATTCAGAGCATTAACTGGTGATTGCGGTTGACTTGAATACATGTAAATTCATCATTAGCTGAAGAACAAATTAAATGAGACAAATGATGCCGAGAACAGAAATCACAGGAAGTAAACACTGTGATGCCAGACATACCCAGACCCCGAGAGGCAACGTCTGTCGCGATCAGGATAGGGGCCTTGCCGCTCCTGAATTCTGTGGAATTGAAATGAAAGCGTGTAAGCTGACAAAGAATATTGCCAAATAGTTGATAAATCAAAGCAGGAGAAGATTAAATTAAAGGGAAGAGAGGAGACAGCTTAAAGGAAGGAAAGTTTGATTATGCTTATGTGAATTATTAGACTGACGACTAATGGATAATGGACTGTGGAAGGATTATGATTGATCGCACAGATAAAGTCTAAATGATAAAGAAATACATGCCACACATGTATCCATAGTCCTAAGGTGTACGTGATATGAAAGTTGACTTTCAGAGATGGCAGCATCCTGACCTCCACTGACTGTGATGTATTCTTACCAGTGAGAACCCAGTCTCTTTCTGGCTGGCTCTTGTCTCCATGGATGCACATGGCTGGCCATCTAGGTAACAAAACCGCATCGATTCAGCAAGTCCAACTCACACACCGAAAGCTGCCCACCGCATTTTTAAAGAGCCACGAATCCTCCTCACCCATCGCGCCTCATCCTCCGGGTGAGATCGTCGCATCGCTTTTTGGTCTCCACAAAGATGATGGTTTTGTTCTCTTTCTCAGCCATTATCTCCTCCATTAGCTGAATAAGCCTGCATGCAGAGAGGCAATATAAGCAAATCAACTCAGATCCAGCAGCGTGAGAAGATCAGACCGTACAAAAGCAAATGATGTAGGTCGCACGCTTAAGTCTTACTTGTTGTCTTTTTCGGTCTCCATGCAGACGTCGACGATCTGCAGAATGTTATGGTTGGCACTGAGCTCCAGAGCGCCAATGTTAATCTGGACGTATTCCCTTAAGAAGTCCTCGGCAAGCTGCCGAACCTCCTTTGGCCACGTTGCACTCCACATCAGGGTCTGTCTGTCAGGCTGAAAGATGGATTTATAAAAATTGGGAAAAAAAAAAAAGAAAAACACCAAAACACCCTCACTTATCAATGTTCATTTGAAAACAGCAAAACTACAGAACCGCAGCCGCCTTACTCTGATTTGTTCAACAATCTTGCGAATCTGCGGCTCAAAGCCCATATCCAACATGCGGTCGGCCTCGTCCAGCACCAAATAAGTGCAGCGGCGCAGGTTGGTCTTCCCCGCCTCCAGGAAGTCAATGAGGCGACCTGGCGTGGCGATGCAGATCTCCACGCCTACGGTCGGATATGGACAGAATGTCAGACACAATCAAAATCCAAACCCCAAAGGACACACCCACGCCACACCACACCCACCTCTCTCAAGGTCTCGAATCTGCGGGCCTTTGGGTGCGCCGCCGTACACGCAGGTGCTCTTGATGCGGGAGGACTTGCCGTAGTCATAGGCAACCTGCTGGACCTGCTGAGCCAGCTCTCTGGTGGGTGCAAGGACCAGACACTGAGAACAGAGGAAGACCAAGGAGAAAGGGATAAATGACAAGGATTCTGTGCACTGAATTGTTTAGACTGAACTCTCTCTTGCACTCACTATGGGGCCATCCCCTCTCTCCAGGTAGGGCTGGTGGTTGATATGTACGATAGCAGGAAGGAGGTACTGCAAGAGGGAAAAAAGAGGCAATAACAATTTTTGCCATTAATTTCAATTCAAAACATTAAATATTAACTTAAATTACTTGAATTATAAAGTCTGGGTTATTCATGATACTAATTATACGCCATGAATTACTTTTTTTTTTTACTTTAATCTGTCTCTTTTGTTCAGATTTCAGAATCCCTCACAGATTTCCACCCATTAGAGAGCAAATCAAATGTTGAAAATGACTTGAATACATTATTGACAAGATCATGGAGAGACGTCCTTACAGCCAGCGTCTTCCCAGAGCCAGTCTGTGCTATTCCCACCATGTCCTTGCCGCTCAAGGCCACAGGGAAACCCTGGGCTTGGATGGCTGTGGGCTCCTTGAAGTTCTGCTGCACCAGGACGTCCATCACATACTCTGCAAGGCGAAAGCAGGAGACAGTTTAACTCAGCCATTTAAATGTTCCTGAAAGCGATCTGTCTGGGTTTTTCTAAAATAATATATAAATTTAGCCAATTTGTGCATGACATTTAAATAATAGGGATGAGTAAATGTGCTAAACTGAGGAAAATAAGGTTTTATGGAATTAAGAGAATTTGACATTTTTGCTTGTTTTTACAGCAAAAAACTTTCTGAAAGATGAAGTAGAATGGATCTAACTCACGAGGAAACTGAGCATGGTGAAAAGCAGTTACGGGTTTTGGACAGCCAGAGCCTCTGATAGTGATCTCCTTCTTCCTGCGAAACTCCTCCACATCATACTAGACATCATAAACAAGAAAAATAAGCGTTCCAAAAGAAAAAAATTGTACATAACCAAGCAGCTTGTTATTATCGTTATTTTTAATTATGGTATGAGCAAATACAAAGAAAAGAAAAAAAAAAAAAACTACCTGACCCACACGTTGGACTTCAACATGTTCAGTGTAGAAGTTCTTTTCAAATTTTGGCAACTCATCTAAGTTCCACCTCTTTTTGCGGAGACGCTCACCAGGATTTCCAAACTTCATAGGCGGCGGTCCGCTGCGGCCACCCATGCCCCCTCCAAACCGTGGTCTGAGAGATGTCACGCAAAAGAAATTAGGATGCAAACCGATTATCGCACAAATTAAGTCTATCTAACCATACACGAACATTTCTAAAGTACTTTAGAGTAAATAAGTGTTTTTAATCATAGTTTAATATATAGTGCCTTCCTAGTAAAACACAGGCCCTTTATGCTTTCATATTAAATCTGAAGCTAAAAGTATTCACAATGGCCAATGCTAACTTGATTTATATCATTAAATGACTGCGTACAAATTGACCCAAATTGAATGAAACCTTACTAAATGTAAACTGGAGCAATTTGCCTTGCAATCTTAAGTGTCTTGAGACAGCATTTGTAGTTCATGGGTTCCATTAAAAAGTGTGTGTAAAATGAGGCGACAGTGTGTTGACAAGCTACCAAAGCTTGGCATCATCTACAAGGTACATTCTGCCTATTGCTCTTCTATTCTCTTGGACAGATCTGTTTTATGCCCTTATTTTCTTTTAGCTTCTCATGAAGTGCATATTTTACCAATGTGTTGTCTTAATTGCAATCAATTAAGAATCTAGCTATGGGACTTGACTTAATGTAATGCTTTGATTGTCGATTCTATGTTGCATGACTTTCTGCTTTTATGATGTAAAGCACTTTGAAACGCCTTGCTGCTGAAATGTGCTGTACAAATGAAATTTGATTAATCGATATAACTTTTGAAATTAAGCTATTTTTAGTTAGACCAAGCAGTAAGTCAACAGAGTTATTAATGCCAATTCTACACTGCAGTATCTAATTCGAACTCCTTCAAAAATGCCAATTACCTAAATCAAACCCAGTTAATTTTTGCTGCAGCCCAAAATCTAGGGTAATTATTTGCACAAGATCAGACGTGCAATAAAAACTTTTACAATGGCTGGAAGGCTTTTGGGTGAGAAAACCTGACCCACACCACAGCGAGGCCAACTTTGAAGCAACTGTTTGGGGCTCCACAAACACGCTATTAGCATTTTATTTTCAATTTACACTTTACAAAATTTTATTCGTCGACTCATCGGATGTTTTTCTGCCAATGTAAGTATTAACTGGGATAGCTCCTTAAGCGTTAGCTTAGCCTTTGTTTGTGTGTGCCTCTCATCCAGGCGAAGCCAAACTATATTTGAACATTAATTAACACTAAGTTGTTTTTTTGGGGGGTTCTTTGCTTAATCTAGAAAAAAAAACTTACCTGTCTCGTCCACGATCTCTGTCTCTGTCCCTGTCTCCGTACGAGGAGCCCCCCCTCATTTCGACGAAACTGTTAGCCCCTTTGGTAGATTTGTCGCTAGCTAGAACGATGGGTAGCCGCAGTGGGCTCGACGACAGAAGCGTGAAAATTAGCGGGCACACAACAAAGAATTGTTACTTTATTTGTAACAGCTGAAATAAGAAGACGAACCGAGTTAACACGGAAATTATTGAGCAACTCTCAACACGTCGCCAGCCGCCTTGTTTGTTTCCTACCAGCGAAAAACATCGACTTCAGCCTAACGGCTAGTAAAACTACGTAGCGCTTTTTCAAAACAAACAGCGGGACGTACGCAGTTTACCTAAGTGATGATGGAGAATCCCACTCTGCGTAAACGTTGTGGCGCTTTTAGACTCTCGGTATATTTGCCTCAGTTGCGGCTCAAAAGCAGCAAATGTGCACTGTGCAGCATAAAAAAATACATTAATAAAAAAAAAGGCATTGTTCCTATGTCTGAAGACATTTTTCTTAAAGCAAAATTTGGTTTTACATATCCGAACAAGAAAAAGAGACCCGTAGCAAAACTATAAACGGTCAGTAGATGGCGACTATGCCGGACTTTGTTCAAAAAGAAACACTGTCTAAAACGAAAAAGACTGCGGTCGTTTCAGGAAGCTCTGTTTTATAGTGAACCTGATACCGAAGTTATTGTTGTTCTTGTCGCATAACGTCGGACTGGTTTGGAAGCGGATCCGGCTGAAGAATATGCCTTTGTTTTTTCAGAACAGAGAATTAGATTGCTTCAGATCAACAGCGGAACTATTCGACAAATATCCACATTTAAAGGTCTGTTTCCCGAAACTGTCTGGTTTTGTGTGATCGTGTGACTTTTGACATTTGTCTCCCACTTTACAACTGTTCTTTCACCGTAAGGCGATTGTTATTTCTGTATCTGCGTCACGTCTAAACATAAAATAGAACATTATATGGACCTACTGTGTCAGTTATAAAGTGATTATAATGATTACTTCTCTGAAACACAAGACGTTGCTGCAGGTTTCTATCAGTCTGGGAAGGTAAGAAAAATTCTGTAGGTTAAAAAAATGGAAGAAGGGAACAAGACAGTAAAGGGATATGTATGTGTAATTTATGATATAAATGTAGACGTTTTGTGTGCGTTGCATTCTATGTTGCATTTGTCTGTTTATCAGTCCACGCTGTTCATTTTAATGCATCTGTTTATTTAGCAGCAATTTACAGTTGTCATTTCAATGGACTTCACAAAGCAAACAGATCTAGCAAGTGTAAAGAAATACACAATCAATTCAATCCAATCATGCACAAAATTTTTCATTAACCATATTCCAATTTCATTCTGTTCAGAATACAGTAGTATCAAGTTCAGTTTGATAGTAACTGAACATGATAGTACAGTTACTAATTTGGGACAAAATATTATCCATTTAAAGAAATGAATTCAGTTGCAAAAAGTCACAGATTTTGCAGCAATGCCTGTTCCTGCTGAGAGTGGACAGTTGTTGTAAGATGATTTTTTTTTTTTTGCAACAACTTCATTTTGAAATGAGGACATTTTACTTAAAGCATTAACCTTTGCAGCAATTGCCTTGACATTGGTTATGAAAGGTTTGTTGGTCAAGTGGGCTTTTTCAAACTGTTTCTGGCAGAAAATAAGTTGAAAAGTGAAAGAGTTGAAGAGATGAAACAAAGATCCTGAGACCAGAAAATAAAACCCAGATGGCTTCTACACATACTTTCAGGAACACATTATTTTAATAAATAAATAAACTCCAGCTTAATGCACCCAACCACCTGCTCTGAGTATTGAGGTCCAACTATTCATTCATTCTATTTAGCGTTTTTTGTAGATTCAACAATTATCTCAAGATAATAGATACTGACTGCATACATACTTTAAAAAATGGTTAAGAGGGATTTGAGTACTCAGGAAACTGCAGTCTATATAAATAACATAAAAAATAAGTGTTTCCTAAATTTTTAGTTGTTAAATTGTTCATACAAAGTAATTAGAAAATATTAAGATATGACTATGATGAAATATGAATAAAACCTTATGAGTAGGACATGCATAGCATTTCAAGAAAGACTTTTTTTCTCTTTCAAAATACATTTCCGACTCATAGAAACAAAATAATGTTTATTGTCACTCGACTGACTTTTGGTTTGTATTTATTTATAGTTAAATCCAGGGAGGAAAAAAACAACAGTTTAATTTTGTTTTGCAGGAAAATGCAAAAGCATTTCGCTCCAAGTCACGTGTTGATGTAGATCCGAAGCACCTTTTGTATGTTCAGCAGAGAGAGTTTGCAGCGACAACTCCAGCAGACAGTGAGTACACCTGCTGTTCACGATGACAAATCACATCAAATCACAGTCAGACATTTTAGAACCCGAATAATCTTCTGAATTCTGAATGGACAACCATGTATTAGTGAGAAAAGAAACTGTCACACAGACACGTTACATTTATGCTGAGATCAGATTACAAACAGCTGGATTCTATTTGCTACTTATGTTAGTTCTGGTTACACAGGGCTTTATTTAGGGGCTCACGAGTATAAGGGGCTGAATAAAAATGCATGGCATGCTTTTCAGATCTGAGAAGAGTCTGCTCTTTTTAATAAATAACTTTGATAAATATTCATTATTTGCAAGGCAATCCATAATTATGAGTTACTTTGTGCTAGCCTAACACACAGAATCCAAATAAAATACATTAAAGTTTAAAGTGTAAAAAAGTTTAAGGGTTATGGGCAGCTGTTCATAATTTCTCCATCATTTGATGGATTTTACACCTATTTTTTTTCTCTCCTCTCTCTCTTCATGTGGTGTAAGATCAGTGCTTTTTTTCGGTGTGACTTTACAATTTGAACTCTCATGAGTTTCATCCATTCTGGTCAAATCTTCCACAGACTGCGTTTCCATCCTTGGATCAGATGATGCTACCACCTGCCACTTGGTCGTGCTGCGACACAGCGGTACTGTTACTTCTACCAGATTCCTACTGTGGGTCACATCTGCCTTCAACTAAAGGATTCTAAATTGTTTCATTTCTTGGCAGGTAGTGGAGCAGTCTGTCTGTCTCACCTCGACGGCTCCAGCACCAGGACTGAGGTCCAGCTCACTATGAAAGCCGTCACATCACTGAGTAACGACTGTAATGAGGGCAGGCACGTCATACATGCACGAGTACAAGTTCAAAGTCCATAATTTCCCATTAACATTTGTTTCACTTTCTGCTAACGTCTAGATTTGAGCTGCATCTGGTTGGAGGGTTTGATGACGATGACAAAAGATCTCATAAACTCAGCCTTAACATTCTGGGTAGGTTCATAAAGTTCTCTATGGCATGTTGCTCGTGGAAATAATCTCAGAATCGCCAAATTGACATGTGGTGCTTATACATTATAGCAGCGTTCCAGAAACAAAAGGATCACATTCACCTGGAGACATGTTGCATCACAGGTTTTTATATGTTTTATATCATTTGTACATGCTGTGTAGTTGGACGTTCTGATTTCTCACTCACAATTCTTTCTGTTGTAGAGATGAACAATGTAGTTGACAAGGGAATTCATAAACCGATAGTATATGGAATAGGTGAGTGGCAGCAACGAAACAAGTAATATGCATATATGTCATATGTTATTGGTAATAACTTTGAGTCTATGTAGGTGTAAATGTTAAAACAGGGGAAGTGTTTCCTGCCTCATTCCCTCATAAAGGACCTGCAGAGATGCTGCGGTCGGCACGGACCTTCACTGGAGGAGAGGTACAAAAACCTATGTTTTAGTCATGTTGAAAATATATGTATGTCAACACTTAGAAATTTGAATGTTCACAGGCAATTTCAGTTCAGTCTGACTGAGCTTGAGCTGCTCTGCAAAGAGTAATGAGCAAAGAACCAATGTGTCTAAATGTCTGTGGCTAGTAGAGGTATATCCCAAAAGATTTTTATTTGTATTTGTAGCACCGTTGAAATACGCATTTACAGTGGGCTCATGCACTGAAATGCATATTTACACTGCATGAGCCCACTGTAAATATGTGGGCTCATGCCGAGGCACTCTGCAATTTTCAGATGTTAGTTTTTACAACAGGCAAAAAAAAATAAAATAAAATAAAATAAACATTCCCTTCCATATTCCCTTTAAGCACTACTTTATGTTGATCTGATGCATAAAATCCCAACAGAAAGCAGTGAATTTTGTGGTTGTGACATAACAAAACCAAAGATCTTGGGGCATAAATAGTTTAAAATGCCTAATACGTTTATTATTTATTTTGGTTTATTGTTTAATGCCATCTTTAGCTGTAAATGCGATTGTCCTTATGATGTAAATTTGCATGCATAGTCTCATTTTTAAGGGAGTGAAGCTGGACTACACATTGATTTTTTTTTAAATAAAATATCTCTTCTTTACAGATGACTGACATTTATGACTCAAGACATGGACTTGTTAAAGTTGGACCATGCCAGTGGAATCCTGATTTGGAAATTGCCTTCTGGTTGTCACAAAGTGATGCCACTATTTTAAAGGTAACATAATAGCTGGGAAGTATTGAACCTCTGACCAGAACAACACCGGAAGAATCAACAGTATAGCGAGTTATAGATGTTTTTTCTGTGTTTGTAGTACCTGTCCACGTCTCCATTTGCTGAACCGCCACATTTTGTCCAGCACATTAAGTCCACCATCCAGTTCCTTTTGTCACATCCAGACTCTGACAGCCTGTTCCCGGGAGGTCAGCCGCACCTCTACCACCGGACGGAGAGCGGCAGCTGGGAGAGGCTTGTCCAGCCATAACAAGTAACACCTGAACCTTTAAATGGTATTTGACTGTTTTTTTGTTTTTGTTTTTTTTTTTTTCAGTTTTTCAATGGAAACACTGTGACCCCTTTTCAATCAGAGTATTTTATCAAAGGTCCAATCCCTGACCAGCGCTTTGCAAATGTATTCACACCACATGGATCATTTCTGATCGGTTCATCTGAGTAAAGCCAGTTTTCTATTTGCATTTTGCAGATTGGATGGAGAGTTTTTGTGGATATCATTGTTCAAGTCTACAGATTAGGGTGAGGATTTTGATTGGGATATATTAACACGCAAATATACTTTGATCTAAACCATTGCTCAAGCCAACACACATCATGTCCTTATTATCTAAGCCAACACAGCTTGTGTAAATAGTTAAAATTACTCTCCTAAGATTCTGGAGGAGTTGAGTTGAACCACGGAAAGACCAAGAACTTGCAGGATACCAGACCCCGAGGACTCACTTTGGTGTGTCTGGTTTAGATGAATGCTAATGTCTTGACCGGTTAACAGTTATGATTTAAGCTTTTACACACCTGCCCCGGTTTTTATGATGCTGCTTGTTCACTAATGTTCACTAGCAAACCTCTGAGGCCTTCACAAAACAGCTCAATTTAAATTTAAATTTACTCATACAAAGAATTAGGGCTGGGCGACAGAGTATGACTTCAAAATTAAATATCATATTTCCTCATTCCACATCCACATTTCTTGCTTTCTTTTCTAAAAAGAAAAACAAGAAAATATTTTCAAAAAGTTGCCTTTTGTCATTTTTTATTTGAGTTGTACGAGAATGTATTAGGGCCAGGCGACAATTTTGTTAATTGTTTATTTGCAAGAACAAAGTCACAATTTTCCTAGAAGAACACCTTAAAATTGCAAGAAAAAGTTGTTTTCATGAGATATAAGCTTCTATAGATTTGGTTGACTACCTAAATCCATGCAGTTCTTTCTTCAGAATAGACAGTCATTTGCAGAATTGTTTCAAAGTCCTGTTGCTGATGATAATTTGATGCTGATGAGTTGAAAGATGAGCTGTTTTCTTATCTGTAAAACTTATACGAGTGTATAACCTCGTACACATGAACAGAAGTTGTAAAACCTGTCTAGCAAGATGATTGGTCTTGGGTGTGCTGACATCACTCTGAACTGTAGAAACCCAGGGAATAAATTGTTGAAGATTTAATTTTGCCCAAACATGAAATGTTCAAAAACCCAAATTTAGATTGATCAATAAAATGTATTCATCATCCAGGACTAGGAGGAATTTATTGACGATTATGTGACTTGTGAATATATTTGCTTGTTCTGTATTTTATTTGGGGGTATCAGCGTATTAGGGCCTATATAAATATGCTTACCACACTTTTGAGGTTTTTTATTGGTGAAGGACAATGGAATATTTTCATTTTCCTTCAACATTATAGTTATGCACTACCTTATGTTGGTCTGTGTCTAAATGAATGGAAGCTTTCTTTTGCAAGGTGCAGCACATTACCTCTCCAGGCTCATGTGGTAACAGGATGTATCCATAGGGCCACTGGATTGCTGTGCATGGTTTCATAACTATACCAGTTTGTGGTTTAACTTTGCCTTAGTGTTGGCCAGTTTCACACTGCAGTCCAGATGAAGCTGACACTTCACACTCATTTTCTTTCAAAGTAAAGAAGGTTTTTTGGGGGGACCGGTTCACCACAGCTCTAATGAATGCCCTACACTGAGTATTAAATGTTTCCTAAAAACAAGCGCCCTTACTGATTTTCTTCTGTGTCTGCTGATGATGGATACTCGGCTGATCTTTCTCGGTGCCACCTTTTCAGGGTTCATGTTTAGTCGGTGGGTTTATATTGTTTCGCAGGTTTATATATTGATGTTTTATTTTTGTTTTAAATGTGAGAACATGTTTTTCCATACTATATTCCCTATGTGTCCACTGTTTCAGTGTAACTTGTCAAAATGGTAGTTTTGGTTTATATTCGCTTATGTGAGTTTGACTCTTTCTGCTGCCAGAACATCAGATCTTCAAGAAAAACATTACCCACGCAGGATTTCTGAAGAGAGCCAAAGTTTTACCACATACAGTACCACACAGGAAAGTTAATAAACACTTTTACAGAAAACCAGCAGGGAAACTTCGGTTTAATGGAAAAGTCCATTTAAAACCACCCATACATTTTTCTGTACACCGTTGTCCCAAGTGGGGTCAGCAGGGGTGCTGGTGCCTATCTCCAGCAAATGTTTTGGGCGAGATACACACCACACAGACGCACACCAATTAACCTGACAGCCATGTTGGGTAAACACATTCACAAGTCCATTACTGTGGGAGGAAGCCAGCATGCCCAGTGAGAACCCATTTACGCACAGGGAGAACATGCAAACATGAAAGACCCCGGACCCGGAATCGAACCCCAAACCTTCTTGCTGTGCAGTGCTACCAACTGTTCCACTGTGCAGCCCCCATTCAAAACCTTTCTGTATTTACAGACTCAAAACAAATATCTGTACTGTTCTAAAGTGCACAAATTTTGTTTTTAGGAGAGGAAGTGGTCAGTTTGTTGAATGTTTTTTATCTGTGGAAATGTAGCTTCAAAAATAGTTTTCTTTTATGTTTATTTATCCTTTGCTCTTGACCATGTCACACTTTCTATGAATGTGTTTCTTTTCAAAAGTGCATGTGTTTATCGCCATCAAAATCCTCTGTGACTAATGGTAGGAATCATGGCTCAGTGCAATAAAAATGTTTGAGTTTAAACCTGAGCATACGGCCTTCTGATAAGTTGTTTCATTCAAAACAAGCTGCTTGAAGCACACTGTAACCTAATATGCACCGAACCAGCTTTTCCTCTTCTATAGCGGTTTCCACTTTTTCTGAGTTTCGCTCAGACGTTTTTAATTTGTTTTCTATGGACTACATTACCAAAAAGAGGGGGGGGGGATAATGCTTCTCATTCTTTGATGGGGTCATAGTTTTGCATCCAGAACTATTACTATCGGAATCTGTGAAATTATAAGTGTAACAGCGCTTATGTTTCCAACCTCGATTGATTTCAAACAACAAAAAGATTAATCAAAGCCCATTCTGCTGGTTGGTGTGTTTTTTTTTTTGTTTTGTTTTTTTTCATTTGAGACACTTTTTTTCCCCTTTAACATTGTCATGTTTAGAAACACAAAGTGGGGAAACAAACCAATCTCCTTTCTGAATAACATGATGGCGGCTAGACATTCACATGGTGTTTGCACACAGTGGAGTCAAATATTTAGCTTCAATTGTTCACACAGGCATTCTTTATCTTAATGCATCAAATGAACAGTAATAATAATTGTTTAAAAAACATTTTAATTTATATTTTTACCTCTATTTATTATAATGAACACAATAGAAGCATTTCATTGTATTTTTTATTAATTTATTATTATTATTATTTTTTTTTTTGCAACTTCAATTTAATTATTATATGTATATTTCCCGAAGTATTCACTGGATTATGGCGCTTTTAGCCCATCCACAGCTGACTGTCCTACTCCACCCATTCATTTTTTTACGTGTTTTTTTTTTTACGTAAGAAAAGTACGTAGTAGGAGTCAACGCAGCCGGTGGAGGACCGTCGCTCCCGTTCTCTCTCTGCTGGAAGGAGTTTGACAAGCAAGTGGGCTACACCGATTTATAACCTTCACTGTCAGAGACCAACACTGTTTGCTTTATTTGTAAATGTAATTGTTTGGCGCCTGGGAGGAAGCGGACAGCTGTTTGTACGTTAACGGTCGTCCAGAAGGAAAACGGGAGCGACGGTTTGAACATCATGGTTTAGCTAAGTCCCAGCCCGGGACGACGGCGTCTTCTGCTCTCCTTCGCGCTGGTTCCACAGGGCGGGCGCAGACCCAATTATGCTCCAGGCGTTTCTGAGGCACGTCCGCCGCTTCCCGTGGGTCACGAACGTCACGCTGTACGGCTGCCTGTTCGCCGGCGGGGACCTGGTCCACCAGTGGTTCACCGCCGGGGACCAGACCGACTGGAGACAGACGCGCAACGTCGCCGTGGTGGCGTTCAGCTTTCACGGGAATTTCAATTTCTTCTGGATGCGCTTTCTGGAGCGCAGGTTTCCCGGAAACTCCGCCGGGATGGTCATGAAGAAGCTGTTCTTGGACCAGACGACGGCGGCGCCCCTGGCCACCAGCGTCTTCTACACGGGTCAGTGAACGCGTCACCACGCTGGCAACGCGGTGCTGTTAATAGTTGACACATGAACGTATCAGTCGATTTGTAACTTAAAGGCAGGACATCGTGATCCTCTCATGTGCCCCACTGGTTCATAGTCCAGTACAGTTTGACCTACAGAGGCCAGGTCAAACAATCTGACTAAGATTAACTAGAAATTACATTCATAACTTCCCCCTTTTGGAGTCTGGAGAACCACAATTATCCCTTTTTAGTACTTATTCTAGATGTATACATCTGGGGATCTTCAATCTTTGTTTTGTTTTGCTTTTTTTCCATTTCCGGCATTTATTTATAGTTTATGCCCACTGTTGCTGGTGCTAACAAAGATATTTAGAAATAGAGTAAAAAAAAAAAAAAGAAACAGTCTTGCAGCTGATGCTGGGTTCACAGGTTAGTGGGAGGACATGGAGATGGTTTTACTTCAACTGTTTCATTTGTCTGAGAACATCTGTGTCCTCTACTAGGTAGTGGAGGTCAACAAATAATTCCAATAATTGGTTGAGAAACCGAAAAAGTCGACAATTATAAAGACAGACCATAATGTTTAACAACACAGACACTGCTAAAAAGGCAGTGCAGAGGGTGGGGGATTTAGGGAGTTAAGCGCTTAGTTCATTTGAACTTTTTAAGAAATAAATATTAGTTATTATTGTTTTACAAGTTATTTTCATGTATTTTTTCCTCGTACATGTTAAACGGTTACTATTCAAAGTTGTACTGTCACAATTATCAAAACCGTTCAATACAGCTAAATATATTGCAGTAATAATTATTTTTAACCTGTTTATCGCTGACCCAATCAGCTCCCACCTAGCACATAACAATGCCACCACAAAACAGAAACAGCTTTAAAATCAGGGCAGATACAGACCGAAAGGAGATTAGAGCTATTCTAGGAAGCAGATGAACCAGTTCTCTGCCAGTGACTCGACTTTCAGAGTAGTGATTGGTGTGAAAATCATTTCCAACTGCAAGCCGCCAAACTCACCTCGCTAACAACCAACATTTGGCGGAGGTCTTAAAACGGTTATTGAGTTATTTTTGACGAATCTGCTCTTACACCCTCCCCCTCTAGCCCTCAGCTGCTTTCCTCCTCGCAACAAGCTTGCATTGAGGATCAGCTGAAATGGCATTTAACAGTTTCGAAACAGAGAAAGTATGTCGACTTATGTCTTCACCAAGCTCTTCAAAAGATCATATTGTTTCGATATGACACCCATTCTCACTGAACTAAATGATTACAGACTTATTTATGTACCATCTGTAATCATAAAATCCTTTGAGAGACTAGAGATGGCATGCCAGTGAACAATTTCCAATTTGCTTACCTGGGAGTGTCAATGCAGGATTTTGCTAAGTTGGGGCTGCATCACCTTCTGGCAACATCCTGAGCTGCCAGTAAGATACGTACAGATCCCCTGTGAGAGATAAATGTGCTTAAAATATAGTTTTTAAATAAGTTTTCCGTCTTTATCCACAATTGGATTAAGAACCTTTTTATAGACAGACAACAGCTAAAGAGACCAGGGAAAATCTGCATCCAGGTATTCCTCAGGGCTGTGTTTTCTCCCCTCTTATATTCTCCATCGAGAATAACAACTGTGGATTATGCACCTCTGCTAAACATCTTAAATTTACAGAAGACATGTTCCAAATATATATTATAATTATTGTGTAAGTAGTAAGTTAAGTTGGGAATAAAGTGTAAGCACTGGAGAGATTAGATCAATAAGAAAAAAAAATCCTATCTTATGCCGACATGTTTGGCAATAAAATACTTTTTTTTTTTTGGTAACCTAGTAACTTCTGCTGATTAAGAAATGTAGCATTTATTTTTTTTTTTTCATATCATTTCAGAAGCAGCAGCGTTTACCCAGATTTCCTCAAAGGTGTAATTATTGACAAACTGCGTAATTGCTTCAGTTTTTACCTGTGAACATGACAAATCCTTGATAAGGACTGATATTTGATACTATAAATATAAGATTATCTGGATTAGTGGAAAGAAAGGAGGCGAACCGAATGGAATACAAAGTTATAAACCAAACCCTTGGATTTTGGAAACTTTGAGACCACCAAAAGCTCAGATGTACAGCTCCATGTTCTTGTTTGTGCCCATATGTATTATTTTGTACAACTAATTCCAGTTATTAAAAGTTATCTAAGTTCTTAGTGATTCCAACCAGGACAAAAAAAAATATGCATTTTTTTCAGAAAACTAATGTATTTACTGTTTTTAATTTAAAAAAAAGTTTAATAAAATGTTTATGAGAATATTGCTCCTTCTGTTTAAATAACAAAAGTTTGTTTATGAAGCGCTTTTTAATTTTATTTTTTATAAGTGACGTATTGTTTTTTAGCAATGCTTATTATGGTCTCTTCACTGTAAGTCATTGTTGTGCGGTATCTTCTGCTCCAATCAGGTGTCAGTTTTTTGGAGGGCAAAGAGGACATCCTGGAGGACTGGAGGGAAAAATTCCTGAACACTTATAAGGTGGGTCGGCTCTCAGAAGCATGGATTTGTCTTTCTGTCCAAGAATAAAAGTAAGAATATAAACACACTCTGTTTTTCTGCAGATTGCTCCCACCAAAGATGAGGAGTGAAATTTTATATTATTACCCTGTGAAAAAGGCAGATTTCTGCTACTGCTTGTGTCTTTTCTTTCATCTTTTCTTAATGTGTATTTGCATGGGGATAAGTGTTACTGAACACTATAACACTTACAGATTTAGCTAATTTGCACTTCATGTCCACAGATGGGCCTTTAATGAAGTAAAACGATTAAAAAAAACAATAAAGCACTGATGGTAAAGTCTTTCTTCTTTATAATTTTGGGCTCCTGAGATTTCACGGTATGAATGAACAACACATACAGCTATGAAACGTTTGGAGCTGAAGTTAAAGACCGGTTCAGCCACAAGGTTGGCTATTCATTCCACAGCTTCTCCAGATATCAAAGAGTTCCTGTTCAACACAATTCACAGGGTTGAGTCACCAAACGTCACTGGGTTTTCTATAGCTGTACTTCTGCTGGTCATTTTTTATTGGATCTGTTCTAACTCTTTCAGTTGCAGAGGTAGAGAAGTATAGAAATTCAAAGTGTAAACCAGAGAAATTGTTGGTTTTTGCTTGTTAGAACATTTGAACACCTACATTCAATTTTTTGATTGTAAGAATCGCCGCAGGTGAAATTAAAGCGGTTTTGTTTCTTTGTTTGCTAGTAAGCTGGTGTCTGATTTCTGTTTTTGTTTTTTTTTTTTCAGACCGGGCTGATGTTCTGGCCGTTCATGCAGGTAATTATTAACATATTGTTGCACAACTGTTTGTATTGATGTAAGGGGGGTGGGGGGGAAATCTGAAGTCCAACATCCATAAAGAAAAATAATCTAATTACCCTTTAATTTGTAATTTGCATGCATTGTTATTGATCCAAGAACGCAAGGTGGAGGCTAACATTGGTCTGCATATCTGGCTGAGTCTCAGTTACCTGCTCTATTTATAAATGAACATGTAACCTTTCTAACTCAGCTGTTAGTGGACAAAGCTGAGGCAAATATTTATAGGAATACAGATGTATTTAGTGATTTTAAGACTGCACTCTGTTAGAAAAGCATGATGTTGCAATTCTATTTCTGCAATAACAATGAGTTGTAATTAGACTCAATTTTCCTCACTGTTCTCCTTTTTTCATCGCCATAGTTTCCCGTCACTCTTCCTTTGCTTTATAAAATCTCTCAGTTGTGCAAAGTGGCCAGTCATATTACTGACAAGCAAAACAGTAACGCACATCCCTTTAGATATGAAAGCGTAATAAATAGTGATTTCAATAATGTACACGGTGACATTATTCTGAAAAGATGATTGCGATTCAGACTGTAATTCAACTATCAAATGTTCCAAAATAAAAACATTTGTTTTATTGAATCCAACATTAAAACCATTCATTTTCATGCTCTGGTTGGCATCAGTGTTGGCCTCAAAAGTCCACTTATTGTCCAGGATGGTGTCCAAACACACGACAGGAGCACAGACACTGATGCATGTCGCTGCAGCTCCTTAGAAATATTCAAATGCTGGGCAGAGCCAGAAGATTTTCAAAAATCCTAAATTACTTCTTTCATATCTGGGTTTTTCATGCCAGGTTGTTACACTGTCCCTTTAACGTTGCGCACTAAAGGGATAGTGTAACGGATCAGGAGACATGTCCTCTGGATCCATGTGGCCTGAGTGATTGGACCCGAAAGCGTCCTGGACACTTTCACATATGTATTTAACGCTTCCTGCTCCTTAGCAGATTACCCAAGAAGCAGATTAACACCAGGTGGACAAAGAGCCTCAGGATAAACTTGTTCCCATGTATTTTGTAACAGTTATGGTAAGACAGAATTTCTAAAAACAAGTGCAGTGACTTTAGAAGTATAAAAGATATAGAATTATTAAAAATATTAGATTCATATTCAGGGTATTACTTAGAATTAACAAGCTATCTACTAAATGTTGACGCTAAAATAAAGTCAGAATAAATGATCAAAATGAAAATGTGTATGCAGACTAATACATAAAAATAGAAAAGTAAGTGCCTATCCTTGTTTGCTGACACCAGCAGCTCTGCTGTATGATACCTGTAGCTGGTCCTCTTCTCACCTATTGAGTTTTAATCACAGCAACTGTGCCTTTCATACATTAAGAGATGTCTGTTTCTCCAAGTTTCTGAACTTCGCCCTGGTGCCTCTGTACGTGCGGACCACCTTCACCGGCTGCTGCGCCTTCGTCTGGGCCACCTTCCTCTGCTTCTCGCGTCAGACTGGGGACGGCACAGCCGGAGCTGCTCTGGCATGGCTGTTCCCCCCGAAAGACGAGGCAGCCGAGCCTGCCGAAGACGAAACAGACTCGAAGCAAAAGGTGGAGGAAACGGCAGCATCCAGGCCTGCATAACAGAAGTACTGGAGGTTGTTTTGTCAGGAGGAGA